GTGTAGTCGTTAGTTAGACACATCTTACCTCAGGCTATGCTTTGAGACAAGCAGTTATTGTATCGACGGAGACATACCTTGGAAAAGTTATTGTTTTTTCCCCGGATTAATTTAAACTAGTAGAGCCAGGGAGTGGTCTCTCGATCGCGGTATAGTTGTCCGTTGACATACAGCCTGTCCACGGTGATGACCACTTAGGAACCTCTGTCTATGAGACGCTTCCTGACGGGAAACAGGACTCGGCGTCGCTCCAGGATCGCCTTAGGAAACTGGTCATTGACCCTGAAGTCCGTCCCCTTCAGTTCCCTGCCTCTGCTTTTTACCAGCTCCTTTTGTTTAAAGTGCTCAAATTCGGTTGTGGTCTATGGCCGTTGGGTCTTTTACCTCCAAGGCGGTGCACACGGTGGAAGGTGATGTTACTTACGGTCTCCGCTGGAAGTTTGAGCTGTTTTTGGATGAAACTCTTCACTATGGTTTCGGGATTCTCGTCCGCCGCTTCTGGGATGCCTGCAAAAACGAGGTTGTCCCTCATGCTTCTTGCCTGCAGATCCAAAACCGCGTCTTTAATTTTCTTATTTTCTTCTGAGAGCTGGTCCAGGCCCTCTGTGAGGGATTTCACCGACTCTCTGAGGGCCGCGTTCTCCATAGCGAGCCTCTCCACCTGCTTCTGGCTGAACTCCAGAGACTCACGCATCGCCTGTAATTCCATATGGAGAATTTCTAACAGAGACGTACGTGCATCGAAGCTCGATAGCAACGAAGAACCATATCTCCCTCGTTCTGGAGCTCCACGCAAGGTCTCACCTCGTGGAGTTTCAATGATAATGAGAACGGTGTGGAACCAGCCCAGAACTACTTGGGAGGAACTTATCAATTATCTCAAGGCAGCTGGGACCATAGTCACCAAGAAAACAGTTGGTAAATCCTGCAGTGCCCACAAGGTCCCTCTGCTTAAGAAAGCACATGAACAGGCCTGTTTGAAGTTTGCCACTGAACATCTAAATGATTAAGAAGAGGACTGGGTGAAATTGTGCTCTTTGGCATCAACTCAACTCGCCGTGTTTGGAGGAGGATGAATGCTGCCTATGACCCCAAGAACACCGTCCCCACCGTCAAACATGGAGGTGGAAACATTATGCTTTGGGGGTGTTTTTCTGCCAAGGGGACAGGACAACTGCACCGCATCAAAGGGAGGATGGATGGGGCCATGTACCGTCAAATCTTCAGTGAGAAGCTCCTTCCCTCAGCCAGGGCATTGGAAATGGGTGGTGGGTGGGTATTCCAGCAAGACAATGATCCAAAACACACGGCGAAGGCAACAAAGGATTGGCTCAAGATGAAGGATATTAAGGTCTTGGAGTGGCCTAGTCAGTCTCCAGACCTTAATCCCATAGAAAATCTGTGGAGGGAGCTGAAGGTTCGAGTTGCCAAACATCAGCCACGAAACATTAATGACTTGGAGAGGATCTGCAAAGAGGAGTGGGACAAAATCCCCCCTGAGATGTGTGCAAAACTTGTGGCCAACTATAAGACACGTCTGACCTCTGTGATTGCCAAACAAAGGTTTTGCTTTTGAACTAAAGCACTTTTTGTATAGGGATCAAATACTTATTTCATTCATGAAAATGCAAATTAATTACTTTTTTGAAATGTATCTTTCTGGATTTTTTTTAATTATTGTTCTGTTCAAATAAACCTACCGTTGAAATTATAGACTGACCATTTCTTTGTTAGTGGGCAAACTTACAAAATCAGCAGGGGTTCAAATAATTTTTTCCCTGACTGTGTCAAAGTTGTGGATGCCCCTTAAATGTTAATATGCATTAATGTTCTCCCTTATGTAACTTTAGAATTCGGGTCTGTGTATCTTGTTAAATTTTGGGCATGCTTTCTCTCCATAAAATACACATTAAGTAAACAACCTTTAAAAAACTCATTTGGTAGTTATACAACTTGCAAAGTTAGTGAACTCAGTAGTAAAGCACATCCTGGGTTCTTTAGATACTCCCCAACATCATGGGCTTCGTTGATGGAAAAAGTTCAGATATAAATAATGATTTTTGCAAGATCACAACGACAGAAAGAGCTTGGGCATCCCCAAAGGAGTTTCAAACTAGAGTCATGGTGCTGGGAATTGGAAAATGTGCACAGGGCCTTAGGGATAATGCTGGTGTACTGCAAACTAACATTACTTATGGGGATGATGCTCGCATCAGTCTTGTGTTTTCACAATATGTACAATGTCTTATTGCCGTATGCTAAAGGTGCAAAATATAAAATATTTTTATTTCTTAGTCAACCAAAAATAGAAAATTATTAAAAATGCACAACCACACTGTATTTAGAGATTATTTACCTGTCACATATCTTTCACCCAGTATTTTCAATACTCAAGGCTAATGCTGTAATATATTTATTAAATAACTCTCTTTCGACTATCTTGAACAACATGAACAGGTGTTTGTGATGTCTTTAGCCCAAGGTGAGTCGACCTTTTTCCCAAAATAAGACATGTGTTCTTGTGTCACTCTGGCTTCCTCTTGCTTGTGAGAACAGAAAGGTGACAAACAATCAAATGATCCCTCAAGCTTGTTGCACTTCCGGAAAAGGGATGACTTCTGACATCGTTTGCAAATATCTATTTCGGTCCGCAGCCGGTATGCTGGTATGTGGTGACACCCACCCCTGCCATTTGTTCACAATACAGCCACGTCTATTAAAACCTGAACTGGAGCTTTTTCGATAACAGAACTGCTGCACAGGATGCTTATGGCTGTTATTTATTGAAGCTGTTACTAATCGATTTTACATGCATTATCGATAATTATGTGTATATCGTGTTTGTCGCCTTCGGACTGTGAGATGGAAACCTGAAGACCCAAGGGAATCGCACTCAACACGGGGAGAACGTGCAAACTCCATACATTCAGAGCGGAGGTGGGTTCCAAACCCAAATTTTGAGGAAAATAATCCATGCTTACCATTACTTATTAATATAATTTTTTTTGGTTTTCCGCATAGTGTTTATGCAGCCATGCTCAATAACAAGGTGTTTGTGAAGCACAACTGCTTCACAGGTGTAATTATAGGTTAAATAAAACCAGCTGGGCTTCACAGGAAATGTAAGCAGCTGAGAAAACAGGCAAGGACCCAAGAGAGCAGTGCAGTAATTGCTAGAAATTTTGATTTGTTTGTTTTGAATTTGGCTTGAAATGGAATCCTGTGCATTGCATTTACCAGACATAATGGTTTGCATTCCATTTTACTGCCATTTTCCTTTTTGAGGCCAAATAGATCAAGGATCCTTAATTTAGTCTCAGGACATACATGTTCAGTTTTTTTTCCTTAGCATCCAGTCATTTCAGATTTGCTGTGTGTCACAACAGAAAGGTTGATGTGAGGTTGGACTCTGAGTCTATTCTGTAGACATGCCCCCTTATCATATCTCCTTTTCCAGACTACTGAGTCAGCTGTGTCTCACTCCTGTTTCCCTTGATCGCCTTAGTTACTTAACCAGTCTAAACAGATCCCAAAGTGTGACGAATTGTTGACTATGTCCAGTTACTGAGCACTTCTCTGCCCCGCTTTTCCCCGAATGCCTGAGTTCCCTCATATGCCCCTCCTGTTCCCCTACCTGATGAGTGATTGTTCCGGACCCCCCTCTTATCTCTGAGTATTTGCGCCACTCTCCCCCCTGCTGCCGATGTGCCTGCCTTTACTTTTCTCTCCCAGGAAAGGTTCTAGAGATGGCAAATTCAAATAAGTTTTGATACATTTACAACAACGAGTGTTTAGAAACCCTTTCAAACATTTCGAACCATTGGCTGTCCATAGCCTGCAGGCGAAATCCTGAACTGCAGATACAGCAAATACAGTAGAACAAAACATTGCTGCAGGTTTTGAAGGTCACAAACTTCAAGGAACTGTCAAAAAGGGGCGTGAGTGTAGTGTGTGCTCTGCCGGCTCAGTTCACATTATCTACATTACAACTCTATACACTTCGGTCAATCAAAAGTTTAGACTGTAGGTGTCTAAACATAGAAGAACTGTTGTTGTAGTAGTTTACACTGTATACTGTACCTCATCGATGGATATTAGATCAAAGGAATCTCAGACCCTAGACCTATGTCTCTTGATGCCTCTTCCCTTCATTGATCCACATTACGCACTGTAGCCTACCTTTTAGCATTGCATAAGCACATATCAGTTTAGCTCACTTCATGTAAATGCTGGGTTCTAGCTGCCATTGTTTGCTGCTACAAACAATGGGTATTTCATCCTGGGTATTTCAGGCCTGTGACTCTGACCAAGATAAACAGGTGGAAAATGCATGGATGTGTATAATGCAGTGGCTGTGTTATAGTACAGATATATTGCCTTTCTAAGACTTGAATAATTCTGCTATTCCTCAACATTGGCTTGATGACATATGTCGTATAAGGACTGGACAGTATATGATTTTTGATTACAACATTTTTTTTCCCCAAATTTGATGAATCCATGTGCTATACATGGGGAATATGACCCACACTAAATGGTACTCCCTTGAATATCTTGGTAAATTAGAGCCTCTATATTTCCCCATTGTGTGTAAAGGTGTAGCTAACAGAACTGCCATAATCCTGTTAACTAATGTAAGTAAAGCTAAATGATTGAAAAAGAGAAAAATCAGGACAATAAAACTGGTTGAATTATGAAAACTTTTATCTGCAAGTACTGTCAACCTGTTTGAGGCACCAGTGTGAATGTGATAATATTAATGTCCTACAAAATAAATACTACTGATCATGTAAGGCTTATTTTTAATATGATTCCTTGGAAAAAGCAATGAATGACATTGTGCTCTTTATTATGTTATCAATGTCAAAAGCAAATCCAATATCACACATTTACATTTCATTAATTACATAAGAAATTACTGCAATGCTAGCATTGGAAAATCTTCCAGCTAATTTTTCGGTACAGTTCTAGGATACCTTTGTGTTCTATCACTGTTGTCATTAGGTGCCGGTTGTTTCCGTCGTGCTGCTGTTGCGGTTGGTTGAGAGCTCTCCCTCAGATTTTTTCCAGTTGGAAAGTCTGCTGAAGAATTTCTGGAAAGTTCCACTAAAGGCAGGACTGGAAAAGTAGTAGACTAAAGGGTTCAAGACGCTGTTAAAGTACGTGAAACACACAGAAGTGTAGAACGCAAGGTTAGCCTCCTGAAAATAAGAGCATTCGTCGTACCACGCTTTGAGTATCCAAACGGCAATGCGAGACATGCTGCTGGGAAAGAAACAGATGATGAAGACTAGCGCTACAGCCAGTACGAAATGCACGGCCCTCTTGATTTTGCCCTGAGTGTCCACTGTCTTATTCTTTAATTGCCATGTTACGCAAACAGTGCAAAAAGTGACGATGGCCGTAGGGATAAAAAACTGAATGACATAGAAAATGTTGTGCCAAGTAGACAAGGGGTTGAATCCCATACAAATGTTAAAGCTTTCACACTGGGTGCGATTATTATGGTCGAAAAAATGCTTATCAGAGAGCAGGTATGCAGTGACAGCCACAACCAGCGCCCACAGACCACAGGAGACGAATAAGGCATATTTTAATCCCATATAGTTAATGCGGTTGTGAGGGTGAACGATCTTTAGGTAGCGGTCCACTGCCACAGCTGTAAGGAAGAAGATGCCTGCCGCTCTGTTGGCTGCCAACAGGAACAGCAGGATGCGGCAAAATGCGTCGCCGAAAATCCAGTCCTTGCCGCGTCGGTAGTAGTCTGCTCGGAACGGAAGACAGAAAAGAACGACTGAATCAGCCACTGCCAGGTGAGTGAGATACACGGCATTGGGCTTCCATGCTTCTAGGCGAAGGATGAACATCAACAGGGCGACAGAGTTCCCCAGCAGCCCAAACATGAATTCCAAGATGAGGACCGGAGGTAGAACCTTATCCAAAATCGGTGAATCAAATGCACAACATACGGTAGAATTTACCATTGTGGAAATGTTCAGATTTCTCACTTTTGTTTCTGTAACGTGAAAGAAAGAGATGAAGCAACAAGAAAGCAGTGTTCTGTGCTATGCACGTACCTTAAGTTTCAGAGAACCGGTTTTTTATTTGTGCACTTGCTAATGAGGCACGGTGACATCTGGGGACCTTTATTCCCAGATTGCCAAGAGACTTTGTTTTCAACAGAGATACAGAACATTACTCCCAAGAGATAAAACTTCAGCTTTTTTAGGACTTTTAAGCAGCAAGTATGTAAACAACATATAAAAGAAGTAGTATTTAAAGAAATATTGTAAATTACAAAGAGATTATGGTAACAATAACATGTGCAGGAATAAGAATTAACAATTTATCACAGGTTATTGCACATGCATTGAATAATTAGTTCTCTGATCCTGCAGTGAAGATACTTGTGGGTGTGAATGCTTCTATAGTAGATGTTGGATAGTAGGAAGAAAAACAGATTGTTGCTGGAGTGGAATGAATCTTTATTGATGCTGACTGACCTCCTTAGTGTAATCTGTTCCTATACATGGAGTCGGTCTTTATCAAAAAATGCATGGAAGAAAGCATTCTAATGGTAAGAACTTGTTTAATTTTTTTGTAATTTGTCTCTCTGTTATGTCATCTATGGTCCATGCTATACTATGGTAAATGTGTCTTGAGTGCACATTGTGGATGCAGTTGACGCACACTGGATCAGAATGTAATGTTTTAAAGTCAGTGCGTCAATTCAATGAGGTCTCTGTTGAGCTCTTTCTGGTTGCTGCATATGACTCACGTGAAAGTGTAAGCTTGCCGGTTTGTTGCTCTTCTGATGTGATTGCTCTAGTTTTCATAGCGACACATTCTCTTTGATTCGTGGAAATAATTTTATTGTATTTATTTATTTTTTTAATAGTTAATTGTTGTGTCATTTTGGGGAGAGGGTGCAGAAGAGCGGCCCACAGGAAGTGTAGTCTAGGGGGCCTTGAACTCATCAATCCGGCGCCGCTCAGGGTAGTCGATCACGCAGCCTGAAACATTGCATTAAAATATTCCCATATTCTGGCTTTGCTGTCATGTTTTCTTGAGGCAAGAACACAAATCACTAAAACATAATATTAAATTAAAAATGAATTCAAGAGCTCAAAATAGCAAATTGAGTACACAAAAAAATTATGTGCACGTTTTTGCGATTTTGTGAGTTCAATTTACATGATTTAATGCATTGTGGCCACAAAAAAAGAAAAAGACTGTCTGCGCCCCCCC